AACTTCTACACAAAAAACGTACTTTTTCAACAAGAAACTTACCTTATCGGTTAACGCTACATCTACCCTTTGAAGCACAAAAGAGTTAGATAGTCCCGAATACAATGAGTGATTATGCTTTTTTAGAAGTCAGTCTGATGAGCTGTCAAAATGTGAGCTCATAAGACCTTGGAGGAGCACTACCAATCACCATCCCGTCAGTCAAAACTAATTCGGATGAAATATAAAGTTGTATAATTGCACACGACATCAGCTGACCGATCAGAAAGAACAACGCAGGAGAATGGGATCAATTGGATCAATGTAAATCGATAAATGAATCGAAAAAATTGTCTTCAGCCGTAAGGCATCTGAATGAATTTGCTCGCTGTTTGGAAGTTCCTGTTGAAAGCCATGATCCACAGTTTACCTACGTGACACGACTAGCCTATTACCTGAGAACCTGAAAAAATAACAATATTGCTCTGACGTCAGGAAAGGGAAGGGTGAACTGCTATAAAGCAGGACTGGCCAGTCCTGGAAAACCAAGCGGAAACTTTTGCCCAAAGGCAGTGTTGCAGCCCGCCAGGTAGGTGACGCAACCTAAAGACGATTCAGTTAATTACTGATGTTTATTTTCACCACTTCGCAGGGTGCACAGAACTCTTTTGTCTGCTGAAGCAGATCGAAGAAGTTGACCCGTACATACGCACCAATTTGTTCAGGCACGTGAAGACTCATGGTCACTCGTGACATGCTCCAGTGCTACCCCAACGATTCCCCAAATCCACGTGACACCAAACAGAATGAAATCGATAACGCCCCGTCTGTGCTCTACGTGGAAAGCTCAAGTTTCATTGTCAGTACGATCCAATCACTCACTCCAGGCGAAACTCGTTGCAAGGAATGAGCGAATCAAAATTACGACTCATTATTGGACAGGCGTCAGTTTTCATAGCCCAGTCATTGCCTCACGGATCTTTGTGTTCTACTGAAGGTCACTATTGCAGCGTGAATTTGCGAACAAAGGAGAGCGAATAGATTTAGTGACCAGCATCAAATGACTGGTGCTTCTGGATGCGTGCCGGTGGAATTAAACAACCACGCTGTGACTGACTGACCAAGATGGATGATGATTTTGCGACTTCTGGCAGACATGACACCAGCCAGCACGTTTCGTTTGGGCATGTGCTACCAAGACGCATGTGATAACATTCAGGTGTATTTTGCTTGCCTTTATTTATAGATGTAAATAAATACAGCTCTAAGTGTCTTGTGACTTGCCTGTCACACATTGGGGGGTTGTTCTTCCTGATGCTCTCCACTATATCAGATCACTGTCACGTACTAGTGTAATGGTGACACTACTGATGGGGAGGCATGCGAGTAGTATATATTGTTCTTGTAAATTCGCTCTATGTCTCTTAAAAAGTGAAATATATTATGGAATTTGTGGAGTCGCTTTGTAGCATTTGCTCGGATTTGGCCGGCGAATGATTGGAATCACCGAATATCCAGGAAAGTTCAGGAATACGCGTTCAAGGAGAGGATGGATATTCAGTTTTTGTAAACAAGATGCAAATGAGAGTTTTGCTTCCCTGTCCAGTAGTCTGTAACTGGTCAGTCGGCATTTTCTAATAAATAACTCCGCAGCGAAGGCCTTTTTTCTTTCACTAGTATCAATTGTACCCCACACGAACGTTTTATGCCGTTCACACGACGATCAGCCAACGGTGCCTCCCTACCTACCTGGCTTACTGTCCCTGGGCTAATCCTTTTAAAACGCAATGATCGAGTCTCTAAATATGACCCTCTGGTAGAGGAAGTGGAACTCGTCTCTTGTAATCCACAGTACGCCCACATAGTTCGTCCAGATGGCAAACACGAAATGATATCCTTACGCCACTTGGCTCCTTAAGACAGCGACATGATATCCGACACAGAACAGGAACCAATACAGATAGCCGAACAAGGGGAGCCTCACGCAACACCATCAGTCCACCGTGATTGCTCAGAAACTGAACTCTTGCCTACTAACGATGCCTCACCATCCCATTCTAGCGCAGATCCAGGAAGTTATTTGGACATTCTTATCCGACAACAGCGCACTCTCTCATATAATCTACGCGACAGAGAGGCATAAACGACTCCATGTAAGGATTACAGCCTTTTACACAGCCTTTACACTCTTTCTCCTTAAAGTACACACTTGCATAGACCATTCTCACTCTATATTTTCAGCTCATGTACTACCGTTATTAGACGAATAAATCGTGCATTACACCCCTCTGTTCTGTCTCCCTTCTTTATCTCGTTCTGAAACTACTTGACTCTCGCAGCAATGAATTATCAAACTTGCTGTTCCCCCATGCTTCCTGAGTTGCTACCACGGGGGGGGGGTGGTCAAAACGAGCCTCACCTTGTTGAGTTGGCTTTAAATCATCAACCTTCTTATACATCTGTCATTCATAGATCCAATAATAAGAAGAAACATCCCTGACGCAGTTGTACCAAATAGCCTGTGACTCCTGCCCCATTTGAGAACTCGTAGGAACGAGTTCATTAGTTCGGGTTTGAGCGAAGGGACGAAAGCCCGAGGAAATGTTTCAACGACAGCTGACTTAGTAAAACAAACGTTGCAGTAAATAGTATGATAACACAAAAACTGATGTTCAATGGCCAATTTTGTGAATGGAACTTAAATGGTGTGGCCAACTTAAATCCCGCGTACAATGTGTCAAAGCTAAGGTCTGCAACATTCACTTGTCCAAATCTAACTCTGTGTTGTCAAACGATCAAACCAAACCGTAGAATACCGGCACGTTCGAACAGCTCAAAAGGTGCTGGCAGCTAGAACTCATATCTGTTTGCAAGCGAAGATGTTCCGTGTAGACAACTGGAAACATCGTGCACAGAATTCTCTGGAGCTGGCTGGTGTGCAAATGACGTTTTCCGTGAACCCAGAAGATAACGTGTAACAGATAAGTACTTTTTCATGTTGAAGCTGCCGCCTGTCCTAATAAAACACTCAAATTACTTTCATACGAGGACCTTTCAGTAATGATTAGGTAATCTGATAGAAGTTCAGGTGTGTCTTACTGACATATCATACTTGTTACACAGTGGTCCGGGGTTCAAAGCTACAGTTGGAAAATTTCCTCAGGATACCTTAACTTGACATTGCGGCAGCTTCGTAGTTCTGCTTAGAAAATCTGGAGTTTATTTCATCTCATCCTGGAGATTTTACCGAAATCTGTAACGCCGCTTGGTTGTCATCTCATTCTCGTGAATCGTCTCGTCTTGTCCACTTGCTGCTGCGAATCGCATTATCATAATCATGCTCATGATCATCATGATCATGATCACCATCATCATCACCATCATCGTCATCATCATCATCAGCACCATCATCATCATTATCATCGGCAGCATGAAATCAGTGTTCAACACCCATGCGTAGGTATCGTGGTTGTACGTGGGCTAGGATACTGTCAGGGCGCCCACATCTAGACAGGACTGCTATGATCTGTTGTATTCAAGGTCATTGAATGCGTGATAAACGAATGAAGTGGTGCGTAAACGATAGGAGAAGCAAATTTATAATCTGTTGTATTCAAGGTCATTGAATGCGTGATAAACGAACGAAGTGGTGCGTAAACGATAGGAGAAGCAAATTCGAAAACAATGAAATATTTGGTTGGGTGACATTTCCACACCACATGTGGCGACGGCTTGCTGAAATCGGTGGTATGTGTTACTCAAAGGCTTTCCACACATTTTTCACGTATATCACTATTCATCGTATTTCGAAAATAGCTAGTTGGCTTCATAACAAGATGATGACCTGTGTGATCTACTCGAGTGATGTTACGTGCAGCATATTCACCTGTGTTCCTGGCAGCGACGCACCACTACCTAGTCGCTAAAGAAGCTATCATGTATAAAGATATCAATGAATTTGGTAGACCTGATCCATCTTGAACACAGTAAGGCGTCCTCCAAAAATGGGGGTCAATATATTCGCAGAATTAGGCTTTTTTGCCCAAAGGGGACTCTTTAGAAATAGCTAAGCGAGTGCTACTAGCAGACACCACCCCTTCAGAACGGACACAGCTCACGGTGGATCAAATAGTGGAAGGCATAAAAGCGTTATTTAGATGACAATTTCGTCGTGATGAAACTAGATAAGGTTAGTGAGTTTTACAACTATTTCAATGAACTGAGTCCACACATCATATTTAGTATGGAGATAGAGTCGACATCGGGTAAACTGGCCTTTTTAGACTGGATGACACAAGGTCGGGGAAAAACTAAAAACCACAGTGTACGAGAAGCCAACTGACATGGGCGATTTTGAACTACACGTCTGCCCATCCAAAGTCAAAATTCGCTTGTGTCGCCTCGCCAACGCTTAACCGAGTAAGGGCCCCGTGCACAGAAGAATTTGTTTGGACATCGGCCCAAACTCCAGCCAGCTCATTAGGCGACCATTGCGAAGGGTGTTGGTACCGGTAGCGAAAACCAACAGGATCGAGACCGCTGTTAGTCCATATAAACCAGGGACATCGGAGGACATTCGAAGAATTCTAAATACGGTTAATATAAGAGTAGCTTTCCAGAGGGGGAACACTCTGCGCTCTGCACTGGTGCAATTGAAGGACTGCCTCCCGGCAAACAGAACCAGGGACTGTGTCTACAAAATTAAGTGTAATGACTGCACCAAGGTCTATACAGGACTGACGGCCAGGGAACTACACATCAGAGTCGGAGAGCATAGTAGAAAAATAGACAGGCCGCCGAGAAACGCAGATGAGAATCAAGCGTTACTGAAAAACTCGGCGATTGCGGAACACACACTGGACACAAAATAGATCTAGAAAATGTTGAGGTTTTGGGGCGCGGACTGAATTCCACTTGGCCTCAACCCCCTCTCAAACTAAATTTTCGGAGCACTCACGACCCCAAAAAGAGAAGGGAAAATCTACCAGTGACAACCAAGGTGAATCGTCAACTGAAGCACCATGAAGTGGAAGAATTAATTTGAACCCCCCCAATTCACCAAAGCAAGATTTTGACGGCTTCAGTAATTGACAAGAACCGTTAATTGACACTCAACGCTGATCTAGTGTGATAATCTGAAGAGGACTGACTTACTGATTGGTTCCCCGTCTGCCTCATAACCTGGCCTATTTGGTGACCTACTCACTTAACCAGGTGAAGCTTTTGTATCGTTAGCGAAAGGTTGCCCAGATTGTTTATCAAGCTCTTCTGAAAAGAAGCTGAAAGTGTTTTGGTATTATAAAGCCTGATAATTACCTTTCCCAGATTTAATGATTCAAATACGGATATCCAATTCTCCACTGCAGTGAGTATCAACTTTACTAAAAACAAAAAGGGGAAGGAAGCTTTATGGCACACGAAGTCGAAAGGCCGGTGGGTTAAAGAACACTTTTCTGCCACCAGAAAATTTGGATTTCGTCCAACAGGGCAGGGGGATGACAGAAACCAGACTGTTGTGTCTTGGTGGACGATCGTGCAACTTTGTATCGGCCCCTTGGCTTCCTGCTCCGCCCACTATGGTATATCAAAAGGCATGGTAGCTCTACACAGCCCGTTGTGGAGACGGAGGAAGATTATTACAAGTGTGTGTACAGGATAGTCACAGTGTTAGACAAGGTCGTGCCAGAATCTCCGTGAGGGATCGAGAAGCGTCCAGTCAATGATGCTCGACCCGGATTGGCTGGCATTCTGACCAATCAGTGCAGGCCTTCGTTTGGCCCGTGTCATGCACGTGACGCATCCGTCCAAATGATGTGTTCGGTTATTAGGGACGGCTGGCCTCCGAACACAGACGCAACCAAACCGGTCTCCATTAGGGTCGGTCATCCTTTGGTAACGGGTGTTGTCAGAAGATGCTCTTCACTGTAAGGAAGAAAGACCTTCACAATCGGCAAGCTGTCTTTCTCGTAATAGTTGCAAGGAGTACAAATCCACCGTTGGCGAATTCGCACAATTCCACCGCCTCCTCGGGTTCTAAATGATATGGCTTTTCCATTTAGTCTACAGGGAACGTGCTAAAAGGACAACTGGTTGTAAAATGTCACAGGCAGAATGCAGATTGGGAGCAATGCGAAAAGCCAATTTACAATAGATCAGTGTTTACTCAGCGCAAAATGGGGCCCATTGGTTGCAAAACCTTTGCGAATGGAATAAAACGTTTTGCGCCAAAATGCTGCATTTTGTTGCTCAAACCAAAAATCATCCTATTATACGCTCACATTTTTACAGCTAGCCAAATTTCATTGTCCAATGAAGCACTCAGACCTCTGGCGGAAAAAGTCTACTGGAATACATTCCTAGCATTGCTGAGACCCCGGGATTCCTGGATGGGACTCAAAGGCTTGGACTGATACCCAAATGCCCGTATGTTTTAGTTCATCAGGGATGCGTTGTAGCTTTTGAAAATTCAATTTCCTTGACGCAACCAAACCGGTCTCCATTAGGGTCGGTCATCCTTTGGTAACGGGTGTTGTCAGAAGATGCTCTTCACTGTAAGGAAGAAAGACCTTCACAATCGGCAAGCTGTCTTTCTCGTAATAGTTGCAAGGAGTACAAATCCACCGTTGGCGAATTCGCACAATTCAACCGCCTCCTCGGGTTCTAAATGATATGGCTTTTCCATTTAGTCTACAGGGAACGTGCTAAAAGGACAACTGGTTGTAAAATGTCACAGGCAGAATGCAGATTGGGAGCAATGCGAAAAGCCAATTTACAATAGATCAGTGTTTACTCAGCGCAAAATGGGGCCCATTGGTCGCACAATTCTCCTAGTTGCAAAATCTTTGCGAATGGAATACAACGTTTTACGCCAAAATGCTGCATTTTGTTGCTTAAACCAAAAATCATCCTATTTTACGCTCACATTTTTGCAGCCAGCCAAATTTCATTGTCCAATGAAGCACTCAGACGCCTGGCGGAAAAAGTCTACTGGAATACATTCCTAGCATTGCTGAGACCCCGGGATGCCTAAATGGGGCTCAAACGTTTGTACTTGTGCTCTGAACTCAATGGCCTGTCTCTTTTAGCATCAGGGACACGTCGTAGCCTTCGAAAATTCGATTCCATTGTGCGAATACTGAGCGCCGCTCAAAATAATAATTTCGTGGTTAGTTGGCGCCTTTCGTGACATATTCGTGACAGGTATTTTGTGACAGATCCAATCGGTTTAAGCTGGGTTCTTACTCAGAATCAGCTCAGGGACACAAATTGGTCGTTGTTTGAGGCTTAGATGATGAAAGCTGATGAATGGCACCAAAAACTACCATGGTTTGAGTCACGAATATGCAAGGGTATCGAATGCTTTCAATCCATGTATAAATCACAATAGTTAACCACGCTCAGAACGGTTGCCACAAGCTTGTGATGTGGTCTCCACTTGTCATCTTTCATGAGTAAACGCCCTTTGAAGAACTTTGACATTCTCCGGAAATGTCCGTCAGTAGGTAGAATTCTCTTCCAGGTAATCGAAGAGCAATCCGGGACTATAACACCTGAAAGGTAGTAACTTTACCTAGAAATAGGTGATGTAGCCTACCGTTCACATTTCTCCACCACTGCCGAGCACGAGAAACCTGATTGTAAGTTTCTGTCGTTTTTTCCCCTTGTATCCTCTCTCCTTCATTGGTTTTTGCAGCTTTCTACAAAGCCAGTGATAGGCTAGAGTTCATCACATAGACTGACACGGCTCCTTGCCGATTGAAAATATTCCAGAGCAACATTATGTTCCATCATCTTACGTAGTTTTACCACGGCTGTTTACCCAGGTAACCGGCTACTTGAGACAACATCCGCAGTGATACATTGATCCAGCGAATCGATTATTCTCGCATCCATCGACGGGAGAACATGGGGAATTCAATCCGACAAGTTACTGTCGGCCTGTCGGCGAGTGCACGCGGTGTGATAGAACAACCAAGTAACCGACAAATTCATACATAAATTTACTGTAACTGCTCATTGTTACGGCTGTTGTTGTGTTCGCCACTTTTCGCAACTGGCTTGCAAACTTTTCTGCGCCACTGGAGTTAACCTCATTCCCCCTAGGTTCGTAACCAAGCGCTTGCAAGCGAACAACAGATCAACAGCCACCTTTCCAACGTCTCGATATAGTAACAGCATTTTCGGGCGTTGAACGCTCAACGGCACATCGTCCGTGAAAGGCTCATCCGTCCGAAAGCCTCGACACGACAACAGTTGCGTACTGTGTGTACTCTTTTCTGGAAAGTACACGATGGACAACCACCGGAGCGTCCTCTAGCCTCAATCTATCTCTTACAGCATTGAAACCACTCAGGCTCATCAGGTGGGAACAAGCCTGGGCCGCCCGCCCGACCGCATACACTCCAGGTCAGGTACGAATGCTTGAATTAAACCAATGAAAAACGGATGACTTGTTCAGGTTGGCTTCAGACGATCCGGTGGTGTACTTCTGATGAGTAGGAGATGAGCTCATCCAACTACACAAGACATTCAAGAAACTGGACAGAAACTTTCAACTGTTGAGAGATTCCAGTGCCCGTACTCGATCTGGTGAATGAAAACGATGCCTTCCAATTGAGCATTCGTCAAACATCACTCTTCGAAAAGAAGTGATGAACGAATATTGGTAAGTTTTGTATCTCGCTGTTGATCAAGGATACTGGAAACCATATTGTAGAGAGCCTTAGCGGAAACACTAAGACAGTCTTCGTAGGGAAGTGACTTGCAAATAGGGATTACAATCACCAGATTATCCAATTATTTCCCGGATGGCGACATCCTCAGACCGGATCTAAGCAGTCCAACCGATATCCATCTCATCCACCCATCTATCGGGATTAGTCGAGGATCAAGTTTGATAGCTCCGTAAATTCCACATCTTTTGCTTCTTTGAGGTCTGTTCATCTCTGCATGCGGTTAAAGGGTTCCACGAAACGACCGATGCTAAGCAGCGGATAGATTACTGAAAGATTGGTTTGCCACTGTAAGTCTGAAGGGCTATGGGAAGGTATTCGAGGGGAGGGAGTGCGCAATGATGTTTGAAATTAGGCTGTAGGTATGAAAATTTCGTCTTTCTCTCTCTCTCTCAGCCGGGTTGACTTGTCGAAAACAACTGGTTGTTCAACTGAAAAGATGCTGTTGTTGACGCCTTCGTGCTCAAAGTTACCTTATTCATTTTACTCTACCGAGTCCGCACTCATCAGCACTGATAATCCTGTCTGTCTTGCGGCAAATTACGTGCTCCCATCAGCAGTAACAGCCTTAGACACTTCGAATCGATCTTTAAACTGAGTCCATCTAGCTAATCTGAAGCTACCGGGGAGCTTTGACACAAACAGGACAATCGATTACTTTTTCTTGTGTGCTGAAGTTCGCAACTTGTTTGTCAGGAACACGAATCCGATAAACGAGCACTGTACTCGACCTGCTTGTTGTGATTGGATGCGCATCTGAAAGGGCACTGCGATTGAATAAATTAAAGTCTAGCTTGGGATTGCTGTGTTAAGCACCAGCGTCCCAATTCGACTAGTTACCTGCTGTGAGCTGTTTGTGATGGAATACCGGGGAAGATGAGTTCATCACCCCGTTTGTTGTTTGCCTACGCCCCAATGGGCTAATTCTGTACCTAGCATGGACAGCTTTTACGTCGAACTATAGGTATTTTACAAAGGAAAGCATGCTGAGATGTCACTGGTCAAATAAATCTGGTCTCAAGTTTCTTAAGTTTCAGAATGCAATGTACGCTTCCATTTTCAGCTGATTTTGTAACTCAAACACATAAAAACTAACGGATACTGAAAATCCAACTTATGGGGTGTGAGATGACCACGCACTTACCTTGACAAGGTGAGGGCTTTTCGTACAGATTATAGACAGCAAACGTTTGAATGAATTGTCTTGGTTGCCATTAGTTCCTTCTGGAAACTCCAATGGGAATAGTGAGTGTAAGCAATCCTGGTGGACTAGTTATACTGCGAATGAACTGCAATGTGCTGACTGAGTTGCACTTGAAACTCAACTGAATCCAGTTGAATCTCTCACTTTAGCTGAGTTTTCTACAACAGGCAGCTTCATATATCATCTGAGACGCTATTCGAGATATCGCAATACACTGTCAGAGTTTTCAGCAACCTTATGAGTAGTGTGTTACGTGTAGAAACGGTACGTCTGCTTCGTGCCTAGAGCTATGGCGGCGCGTTACTACAACCAACAATATTCCGTCGAATTCTTTTTAGTAAGGACAAGTAAACTGGTAAGGTTAACACCAGCCGTCTGTTCTTCTATCAGTTATTTTGACGAAATCGCAAGTTTTACCTCGTGAGTGAAGAACGTATGCACTTAATCGGATTATGATTGTCCGCGACACTGGTCCCTGAGTGATATTTTCTTGTTATCCGATTGAAGTGACAAAGTTTTCATCCTGAACATGTAAGTAGTCTAACAGTGTTTTTTCGAAACCAGTTATACTCAAGCTGATTGGTGCTGCATCAGAACACGGCTACTCGCACCAGCTGTACTGTGTTCTAACACAGTTCGTTAAACGTGCCTGAAGGCAAGTGAGGCTAATGCCTCCAGTACCGATCAACAATGGCCTAGTTAGGCATGTGAAAGCCCTTCGTTTAGGTCCTCACTACGACGGTAGCAAAATATCGACACGGTAATTGGACATGTTACAACCATCAAATTCATTCACATATATTCAACCCCACCATTCGGTTGTCGTACTCATATGGACGCAGTGGCAAAGATCGGTGAGGGTCGCATCAAGCATACCGCTACTGGTCAGTCATGGGTGCAACCGTATACACAAACGCACACTCAGAGCTATTCGCTCAGCTTTTGTGCCACGTGGGTGAGCCCAGATCACGAAAACAAATAATTCCATTATCTATCACAGTCAGCTGATTGTGAGACTGCATGCAAGCACAAAACAGACAGTCCCTTTTGCCGTAAAAATAAACGAATCACACTAGGATTACTTCTACTCACTCATTTTGCATATTCCTACTCCGTCTTCCGACGGCAAAGCAGCATGCTTCTGTTACGTGCCCATCTTAGTGCAAGTCACATTCAATCGGTGTGAGAAAACAAGGCTTTCAGGTTGACGCCTAAATAGGTGGAATTTTCGGAGCTATGGAACTACAAGTGTGACTTGCCACGATACTTGTGGACTCGATGAGATCAAGTAGGTAGCGATTGACTTGATTTAACTTTGTACGCACTGGTTACGTGTTGCTTTAAATCAAAGATTGCCTCCCAGGTATCTCTCCCATATGTCTTTTACGGGCATAACTAGGTGAGTCATAGACCAATCCAGAGAGAAAACCCGGGTAATCAAATAAAATATACCAAGTTCTGAATTAGCGCCGCTACAAAAGGGATCCGCCTATGGGCGTGAACATCCCGTGAAACATACACTGACACTGGTCGATAAAACGGACAGAAAAGGCTATACAAGCAAACTGGAAATCAGTTTATGAACTGGTAGCTTGGATTTCGGAATGAGCATCCTGAAACCTTGAAGGAATACTTTTCAGGATGGCTTTTTAGCCCAAAGAAGTTCAGGACGTAGAAATCAATCAAGGCAGCAGCGTAACAAGTAGAATAGGTTATAAAAACTTGGATACAAAAGTTCTCCTGAGATAATATTCTTGTGACATACAAGCTTTGGTAGAATAGTGTTTTCTTCGTGTAATTGGGTCTGAGCTAATGGCATTCCCGTGTCCAACTTTTGTGGGTGATATTTTGTCGTTTTCGAAAAAGTTTGTTGACAATCGGTAGATTTATTGCTGGGCAACGTTTCACTTTTGACACAAAAGCTTCGTCAGGCCAAATGACTAGGTTCCGAGTTTGGTCGAGATTTAAGGCGGAAGGAGAACCAATCAACTAAGTCAAGCTAAATCTCTGTTGGGTGTCGGCCGAGGGATTTTAGTGTGTCAGAGTGGTTGAACAGATGTTGGGTCGGTGGGGAAACCTACATGTGTTTGGGTCCAGCCTACGGTCTAGTTTTTCTGGTTCGGTTCATTTGATCGTTCCTTTTGAACTTCGTTTGAACCTTCTGTCCATCTGTGTGAGTGAGCTAGTACTAAGAAAGTTGTGTAAGAGGGATGCTGTGACCTTTGGTCGGTTGGGGTTTCCACCCCCATCCCCCGGTTTTTTCTAATGATCCTAGGTGGATTGACAGCCACACCGTCGTGTTGTCAAACAGTGCCTACAGTTCACAATCGGCCCCCGCGTATTGCTCAGTTATT